CAAAAGATGTACAATTTTAAGTTTAAAAGTTTATTAAGGTAAAAAGCCAGATTAAAAAATCCATTAAAATCATAGGTAGGAATTTAAAATGTATAAAAAAGGTATTTTAACCTAAAAATATTTTATATAATTCTGAATTCACATTGTATCTGCAATAATCACACAACCAATTATTAAAAATACATCTCTCTTTGGCCCAATGGCAACTTAGCCAAAACGCACTAACWCAAAATCATTATTCGTAATTTTAGAATAAAATCACTCACTATAAAATCGTGGAGAATAATATTTTAAAATTATAATTATAATCAAAACAAAATGAGCATACTTGACATTGTCTACGTAACACAATAAACGGATAGCTCACAACATGCTGCAATATAAGACATGTTGGTTTTAGACATTTGTTCACAGTATCATTGACTAGGATATCTAAATAAAAACCAAAAATTAATTCATGAATTAATGTATCCATGTAGGTACTTATAAATTACATTTGATTACTTATGCCGGTTTTTATAATGTCTAGTTAAAATTAACAGACACTTAATCAGACATTGTAAAAACAGGCTTTAGTATAATATATTATGAGATCAATTTTAAATAACCTTTGTTTTTAGACATTTTCATGAGTGTTTCACGGTGTTGTCGTCTGATGATTTCGGTGTCCTGAACATTTTGTTGTAGCTGCGATGGGTGTTCTGATATACTCCTTGAGGGTCGGTGTCTATGGAAGTCCATATTAAACGATTCTAAGCCAGCCATTAATATTAATAATTTTCAAAATACTCAATCTATATATAAGTCTAGCAATATGTTCAATTATTAATTTTAATAATTATCTGAAATTTCAAACAAAACCATAATGGCATAATAGGTAAATGACATAACGACATTAACTAATATGTGTATCAGTATTAAATTCCTGAATTTCAATAAATATAATATATTGAATTTTATTTTTTAAAACAGATGATAGAAATTAGAAATACTAACACCCAATGACCAAATAGAATAGATAACAGAATAGATAGTTTATTCTTTATCTGGATGCTGGTAGACTAGTAATGGCCAATAAGTGGGGATGAGAACAGTTTCTGCCATAAATAATCTGCAGATCGGGAAGATTTTGATAACAAGATAAAATCATCAAAATCRATTTATCACTTATGATCAATGTTGGTCACTCTGTCGAGTACTATGAACACAAAATGATAAGGTATCGAAACGAAAAAAGAGAGAAAAAGTATAAACAACCTACGGCCGACGCGCGAGCCGCGGACATTGTAGTAATTGGTACAATACTACTTAATACGTTATCCATTTATTATACATTTTCAAGTTATTACTTTATTAGTTAATTATTTATTATTATTGATATTATATAAGATTTCCCATCGTTAGTACTCCGGGAAGTATTTCGAACGTTTTGTCCGGTTTTCTCGAATTTCGTATTAAACAMCGGCGGCTGGGTGTATAGACGTGAAGTATAAAATATCATAAACGGTCAAAATTTCCATTTTCTTACCGTTAGTTTTCAATTTTTGATTTAATAGTGCTGCCGTAGATTTTTTTTTATTAGTAATGTCGGATGCGAATAACGTCAACAGGCTCGAAGAACTCGGCAAAATGAAGGTAAGTACGACCGTGGTGGTAGGAAACGTGTTTCCAGTTGCCAATGATTGACACGATTGTTAAGTATAATTATTATTCTATCAGTGACGCGAATTTTGAACAACAATGTTAAATTGTTTTGTATTTTTTTCATCTGTATTGTTCGGTTATGGTTGTTTGAAATAATGATTCTAATGTTTTATTTGTTGTAAAATTGTATAATTCYGTTATTCATTACTCCTTATTTAGGAATTGTGATCTAGAGAAAATTTATTATACATAGATAGGTGTTCATCCATTTACTGTCAGTAGGTAGAACAAAAAAAATAATTTTTAATCATTGTTACAGTGTATTAATAATACCTATTTAATATAATTTACTTGATATTACAACTTGATTTATCTTTCCAAAATAAATTCATTCCTTCCATTTTATTCAGATTTCACTGTTTAAACTACTTAATATAATACTATACCTACACTGAAATATAAATATTTTCAATGCTGAAATATGTAGCCAAGCGCAGCTGGTGACTTGACTTACTAGTCGACTAATCTATTTTATATACGTATATTACCAAGTACTATTATTGAATATCAATATTGATTATCTTCAATCAAGTCCTCTTATGAATCTCTCATTGAACTAATTGTAAAAATATTTTATCCTAATTGTATAAAYTTTAATAAATATATAAAAAAAAATATGTAGTCACATTTTCATTTTGAAGGTTTTTGACTAATTTAATAATTAGTTTCCAATCTTAATTCTGTACAAACAATTAAGAATTGTATAAATGTATAATAAATCATTATACTAAATTCATTGAATATTGTTTTCATAGGTCAATGATTTGAAGAAAGAATTGAAAGCAAGAGGTTTGAGTACAGTTGGAAACAAACAAGAACTCATCGATCGCATGATTAATCATTCAGAATCTTCAGGTTTGTTTGGCATAAAAATTTATACAAGATAGCAGGTTTAGAAAACCAACGAAAATTCAGTTTTAGATATCGAGGACACTGTGCTGGATGAGCACGACATTCTTGATGAAGACGACGCCTTAGAAGTAACTATTGTTAATATCATTGTCAAACATGTTTACTCATTATAGTTTATCTTTTGTTTAAGGATGATTTGGGTTACTCCGATATTGATGAATCAAAAGTTCTAGGTGACATTGCAGAGAAAGAAGAAAATAATGTGGAAAATGGCAATATTCATGAAGAAAAAGAGGTTACACAGGTATTTTATTTATTATGATTAAGATTAAAAATCCTAAAGGACATGACTGCATTTTTAATTTTAATAATATCTAGTACTTTATTTTTTAAGSGTTAATATTTTCTCCCCTTGATATTATTTTGATTATCGGTATATATTATTTTAATAGGATGGTTTACCCACATATGTTGGGTTAGGTTACTTTTCCTACTTACAAAGGTATACATTTTGTGTTATTAGCTTAAATATTATAGTATATTAACTAAAATTGTACATAAAGGATATAACTTAAACTGTGTTTATTGTTGATTTTTATATATTTTATTGTTTAAGTATATAGTAAAAATAAGATWTTAAAATACAGTAGAACGCCAATTATGTAGACTAATTTATGTTGAGGGTAGTTTTTATGTATATATTTCTGAAGGATTGATCATACATTTGTACATACCAAATTACTGACACTGCAGTGATAAATGATAATCAGTATTAATAATAATTGTATGCAATAAATGTTATATATTATATAAATCAGACAAACGTCATACTATAAAAATAGATTTATAATCTACGATCATAAGCGTGCACAGACATTACTGGCAGGGTAGTCATACATGATACATGGCATTTAACATGAACAAAAAAATTTTGATAGGTAACTTTATTTAACTGCATTTATCATAGTGAAAAATTATTATATAAGTAATAATATAATGTAATATTCCTAAATTAGTTGATAAGTAAAAATTACTTAAAAAATAACTTACTTGTACTTGGCGTATAATTTTTGAATCAGATATGGTTTTTTGTTTTTTCATGGTTAATGTCTCAATGAAAAACTTTTTGAGATTAAAATCACAATTCTAAATTAACATAATATAACTAATTTTATCATGGCAGTTACTAAAGACCATATATTTTTCCAATATTCTTAGTTTTACGTTCGTTTACGCACATTTTGAAATGGTCAAACATATTAGGGTGGGGGAGGCTAGTTGTTCAGTTGTTCGCAGAGTAGTCAAGTGCCTACCCTGACTACCCCGTGCGCACGCTTATGTCTACGATCACGAGTTATTAAGTGATCTTTTTTTATCGTCTGGATAGTTACCATTCTACTGTAAATAAATGCTCATAACTTATAACATATTAATATTATTAAAAAAAATTTACTACRCGACCAGAAGTACTAATAAAGAATAGACATCACTTACAATGGAATAAAAATGTAACATTTCAAAATAATAAAAATTGATCGACTTTTGATTTATATCATGTTTAGGTAACACAACCTAAAAAGGTGACATTAAAGCGTACTTCTGTAACTGTATTGAATGGGGATGGTATCAAATCACAAGACGAAGAGAAAAAAAGTGAAAACATTGAAGAATCAGATGGTAAGGACCGTATCATCAAATTAGATGAAGTTGAAACTATGAGTCAAATTGAGGTAAATATTGAAATGATTTTATTTTTAATTAATTAATTTTAGTATTTAAATGTTTTTTTTAGAGAATACAAATGAGAGCAAAGAAATTTGGAGGCGAAGTGTCGGAGGACAAAAAATTGGCCCGACTAATTAAATTTGGTGCTGTAACTGATCAAGTATGTAAAATATAATTAATACGTCTACATTTATTAAGCTCAAATAAAAATAATAAAAAAAATAAAAATTGAATATATTTTCAAACTGTAATGTGTAAAAGATTTTCCTTCATGTATGTGTTAATTAAATATAGGTAACTTACAGAGCTTACTCAGGATTGCTTTGCTGTATTTTAGGTTTGTGTGGTTCATTTATTAAGTAGGTAATTGATTGTCATGAATGTATGACATGTTAAATTTGAATTCTATGATAATTCATTGTATACAAAAAATAATTCTGAATTGAGATGGACTGTCATCAACATTTTTGTAATTTCGATTAGCCTATATTTTATTATATAATTATATTGTTATCATAGTTATTTATTTCACTATTAGTAATACTGTAATAATTTTGTCTGAAAACATTGCATTTTTTATATTATTAATATTTAATTATTATAACAGTACTTATATTTATACATTTTATTATTATTAACTTTTAAGTCAATACAGTAGACTTACTGAATAATGGTCAAAAGGTTTGTGATATAAATGGGTAATAGCGTATAAAGCCAATTCTAATATTTAAAAAATATAATTTTGTACATAATAACTTAAATTGTTTTTCTTCATTTTATCTAATTTTGTCCAAATTAAAAAAAAAAAAAAAAGGTGGGTAAGTCGTGGATGTCGCTCTAGTGTACAGTAGGTTACAAGTGGGTTACTGTAATGGATGAAATTAAATTTGAATCCAATGATATTATATTGTATACGAAAAACGATTCTGMGCGAAAACGGTTTATCTGTCTAGGATATATTATAAATTATTAAAAACTTTCAAATCTTAGATATAAAAGGAAAATTTTTTATGAATTTCTAGCATAAAATAATTTACGAATTTTCATGATTTTTACGTATGTTGTCAAAATTCAAACTTTGAATGCTCGTAAAACAAAATTGTGACTATGAATTTATTTTATTTTTCAACTGATATTGTAAAAATATGTTAGGAGCCTTTTGAATTAAACAGAAAAACTTTTATGAATTTCTATCTAAGATAATTTGAACAATATCGTAATTTTTACGTATTTAATCAAAATTTGAACTTTAAATGCTTATAACAAAAAATCGTGC